GGGACTCCAGGATCATGACCTGAGCCGAAGGCAGTCGCTTAACCAACTGAGCCACCCAGGCGCCCTAAATATATTACTCTTTTCCAGCTATATATCTGTATGAGACTAGATTTTCTTCTTCATATACAGTACCTAAAACAAACCACCCTGTAACAATAGATAGAAAGCACAAGTAGATTTTGAGAATTCATATGTCCTCTATTAAGCCAGATATTAAAGAGAGTTGCAAAAATGTAAAATAACTGCCATCCTCTCAGTAATTTAGGGAAGTGAATAGTTTTCACTAAAAATCATTTATGTTCAAAATAGAAAGGTTTTGGGGCGCCTGGGTGACTCAGTTAAGCATCTGCCTTCGGCTCAGGTCATGATCTCAGGATCCTGGGATTGAGCCCCGCAACAGGCTCTGTGCTCAGTGAGGAGTCTGCTTCTCCCTCTCCCTCTGCCCCTTCCCCCCTGCTTGTGTTCTCTCTCAGATAAATAAAATCTTTTTTTTTTTTTAAAGCCTTCCTATAGAAAACAAACAAAAAATAGAAAGGTTTTGCACAGCAAAGGAAACCATCAACAAAACAAAAAGTGAATGGGAGAAGATATTTGCAAATGATATATCTGATAGAGGTTAATATCCAATATGTGTAAAGAACTTATACAACTCAACCCCAAAAAACAGTATGATTAAAAAATGGGCAGAGGACCTGGATAGACATTTTTTCCAAAAAAGACACACAGATGGCCACAGACACATGAAATCATTAGGGAAATGCAAATCAAAATCACAATGAGATATCATTTCACACCAGTCAGAATGGCTAGTATCAAAAAGACAAGAAATAACAAGTATTGACGAGGATGTGGAGAAAAGGGGACCCTTGTGCACTGTCAGTGGGAATGTAAATTGGTGCAAATACTGTGGAAAACAGTACGGAGGTTCCTCAAAAAATTAAAAATAGAAATACCATATGATCCAGTATTTCCACTACTGGTTATCTACCCAAAGAAAATGAAAACTCTAATTCAAAAAGATATATGCACCCCTATGTTTATTGCAACATCATTTACAATAGCTAAGATATGGAAGCAACCCAAGTGTCCAATGATAGATGAATAAAGATGAGGTGTACTGATATACACAACAGAATATTACTCAGCCATAAAAAAAAGAATGAGATCTTGCATTTGCAACAACATAGATGGACCCTAGAGGATATTATGCTAAATGAAATAAGTCAGAGAAAGACAAATACCATTTGATTTCACATATATGTGGAATCTAAAAAACAAACGAACAACAAGGGGCACTTGGGCGGCTCAGCAGGTTGAGCATCTGCCTTTGGCTCAGGTCGTGATTTCGGGGTCCTGGAATTGAGCCCCACTTCAAGCTCCCTGCCCGGGAGGGAGTCTGCCCCATCCCCCCGCCTCCGCCACTGCTTGCACTCTCTTGCTCTCTCTCTCTCAAATAAAATCTTAAACAACAACAAAAACAGACTCTTAAATACAGAGAACTGGCGGTTACCAGAGGGGAGGTGGAGGGATGGACGAAATACGAAATAGATACAGGGCATTAAGAGGTACAAACTTCCAGTTATAAAATAAATGTCATGGAGATGAAAAGTACAGTATAGGGAATATAATCAATAATACTGTAATAACATATGGTGACTACAGTTATCGTGGTGAACACTTATGTAATGTATAGAATTATTGAATCAATATGTTGTACACCTGAAACTAATATAACATTGTATGTTAATTATACATCAATAAAAGATCATTAATGTTAATGAGTAATGGGTTTGTTATTTTTAATGAATTTATAAATATTTTAAATTTTTCTCAGTTTCCATTTTAATATGTCAAGTATTGATAGACATAATCCAAAAATCCAAAAGGTTTTTGGATCTTCAAACCCCATTCTTTTTTTTCTTTTTAAAGATTTTATTTATTTATTTGAGAGAGAGAATGAGATTGAGAGAGAGAGCATGAGAGGGGGGAGGGTCAGAGAGAGAGGCAGACTCCATGATGAGCAGGGAGCCCGACGTGGGACTCGATCCCGGGACTCCAGGATCATGACCTGAGCCGAAGGCAGTCGCTTAACCAACTGAGCCACCCAGGCGCCCTTCAAACCCCATTCTTAATTTTTAAGAATGTAAGAGGTTCTAAGACTAAAGAGTTTAGGGGGGGATAAAAAAAAGTTTGAGAACTGCTGCACTAGACCATGAGTTCCTTTAGATCCAGACAGTATTAATATTTTTGTGTGCATAAAAAAATTTACCCAGCAGAAGTTTGTCAACTCTTATGCCTGATGCTATGCTAGGCATTGGAAATTCAGATTTAAAAAAGATAGTCCCTGTTCTAGAGGATTCACAGGCCAATGAAGAAGAGACAAAGGTAGGTACAAAAACAATTATGAGGAGAACTACAGGAGCCTACACCAGGAACACACATCTATTAGGTCAAGAATGAGAAGGGCAGTGGCCAGGGAAGGCTTCCCAGAAAAGCTATCATTTAATCTGAGTTTTTAAGGCCACCAGAATCAGCCAATGGAAGAGCATTTTAGACAGAGGGAACAGAATGCATAAAAGGTGGAAGCTTTAAGAAACGTATAGTTATTTCCAGGTCCTGCATGTAGTTCAGTATGAATGCAGCATTAAGTCCAAGTCTGTGTATTGGGGGTGAGGATGGGAATGAAAGGAAATGAGGCAGGGAGGTAGGCAGGGGCCAAAACGAAAGACTTCATATACCATATTAAGAAATGTGGATTTTTATCCTCAAAGGAGGGAGGGAGGGAGGTGGGAGGGGTTTTGGAGGATTCTAGGATCTTATCGGCATCAACTTTTTAAAAGATTTTTGGTTAACAATATCAAGGTTCCGTTGAAAGAACATACGAATTGGGAACCCAGGAGGAAGACCACAGCAGACACAGGCAGGAGGAAATATTAGGAGCTGCCCAAGACAACCCCAGAGCCTTGGCGGAGGAACATCATGTGTAGGCAGTAGAACCCACAGGATTAAGTGGCAGCGTAAAGTGAAGAACAGGGGAGCGCTTGGTAACCCCCAAGCGTTTAGCACTGGCTACTGGGGGGTGGAGGTGTCTTGCATGAGTTTGGGGAAAACAAGGAGATGGCTGGAATGAACACTGCGAGGTCAGGTTTGTTCCACGCGTAGCAAGCAGGCAGCTAAGCAGATCTAAATACATTTCCGCACCCCCTCCCCCGCGGCCCGGGCCCAGGGCCCACGTTTCCCACGGCTTCCACCCCCACCAGCAAAAGCCAGGCCTCCCACCGCTCGGCCTCAGGGGAGCGAGGCGAACCGCTCCCTCCAAGTTTCCTCCGCCTGGGCTCCCCCTCCCCCTCCTCCCAACCGGCTCTCCACTTCCTCTCCCCCCACCCCACCCGAGGGAAAACGAAAACAAACAGCCCCGCGCCCCGCGCTTCACACTTCCCGACCCCGGGACCGGCTCCGGGAGCTGCTTCTGCGGCCTCAGGGAGCCCCCGACTCAGTAACTCTTCCCTTCGCCCCCCGCCTGCCCCGCCCCAGCCCGGCCCCGCCTCCCCACGGGGAAACAGCCCAAAAAAGGGCAGAACTGAACTTTTGGCGTAAAGTTGGCCCGCCAGGGGAGACAGGAGAGTCCGCAGGGAGAAGGGGAAGGGAGGCAGGGCGCGCGGGGCCACCGCGGCGAGGGGAAAGCCGGACGGGGGGAGGGGAAGGGGCGAGGAGGGGGCGGGAAGGCAGCGTCGGGGGGGCGGGGATCGCTGCCGGGCCGGAGCCACGCGGAAAATATGCGGGGCACGGGGGGCAGGGCGGGCGGGGCGCGGAGCTGGGTACCTAGCCGCCCCACCGCCGTAGAGGAGGGGCCCTGGCTCCAGGGGCAGGGGCTGGAAGGGGAAGCGAGGGGAAGAGAGGTCAGGCCCGCCCTCGGGGGCAGCAGGCCGGGCCTCGCTCCTCACTGGGCCGGGGCTCCGGGCTCCCCTCCTGCCTCAGTTTCCCCAAGTCCCTGGTGAGACTCACCGCTGTCACTACCACGTCGGCAACGTAGACCCAGAGTCTGGGACTCAGGGTAAACTGAGGTACTCGAACCACGGAGGAGCCCCGCCTCCCAAGAGACATTTAATCCAGGGGGATTTACAGGAAACTTCTAAATTAAGGGCAGCGGCTGCTGCAGCTGAGTGGGGCACGCGGGTCCCTGCGCCCGCGCAGCTGCCGTGAGCTCACGCCCCGAAATAGCCCCAGGGGCCCCAGCCGCAGCTGCCACTGGGCCGGGCTGTCACTCAGGAAGCGCAGAGCCCCCAGCCCGAGGGTCCCCTCCCCTCCGTAAGGCTAGAGTTTTTCCAGCGCACTGTACCAGCTCCTTTACCTTCCGACGGCTGCGGGGGTGGGGGAGGGGAGGAGCCTCGGGGGGGGGCGGTCCCGAAGGGGTGGGCACAGGGGGCGGCCGCGCCCCCCCATCGGGCTGTGCTTCTGCCCCTACAAGGTTTGGGCCGCGGTGGGGGAGGGTCCCGGCCCCCGGCTCCGCCCGGTCCCTCCCAGCCTTTTAGGCGCCCGCGCGGCTGGGACATCCCAGTCCCGCTTGGTCCTCCTCGCCCGCCACCCGTGCGCCCAGTCCGCGCAGCCAGCCCAGTTCGTCCAGTCCGCACTGCCCACCGGCCGGCCCGCCCCCCACCGCAGCCATGGACGCGATCAAGAAGAAGATGCAGATGCTAAAGCTGGACAAGGAGAATGCCATCGACCGTGCCGAGCAGGCCGAGGCCGACAAGAAGCAGGCTGAGGACCGCTGCAAGCAGGTGGGGGCCCCGGACCCAGTGCAGCGCCCTCCTCCCCAACGAGGGAGGGGTAGGCCCTGCCCTGTGCCCCCTAGCCCGAGGCCTGCAGTCCCAGGCTCTCCCGTCCAGTGTGGGGGCTGGACCTTCACAGGACCTTCAGGGACCTAGCCGAAGCCACACTTAATCTCACCCACCATAGCCTGGGGAGCGGCAGTCCCCCAATTTCCACACCTGTCCCTGCAGAGCAATGATGGGCCCAGCCTCTTGGGGCTGGAAGCTTTCTCTCTGGCCCCACCAGTCCCCTTTCAGCATCTCTGGCTGCACTGTCCTTTCTCTGCTCTCCTGCTTCCTCCCGGACAGCCTCTAAATGCCTTTGGTACCCCGCTCACACGCAGCCCTGCCTCCTTCCTGCACCCCAGGCCTGACTAACCAAGGCCTCTCTCTCCCAGCTGGAGGAGGAGCAGCAGGCCCTCCAGAAGAAGCTCAAGGGGACAGAGGATGAGGTGGAAAAGTATTCTGAGTCCGTGAAAGACGCCCAGGAGAAACTGGAGCAGGCTGAGAAGAAGGCCACCGACGTGAGTGTGGACCTGGGGTATGGGGGGGAGTGCACTGGGAGGAGTCCCAGACACGGGGATAAAGGGAGAAGGGGACCCAGACATCCCCAGCACCAGGACAGAAATGGTTTCCTCTCCGAAACCCAGGCTAGGGCAAGGTTGCACAATTAATCTAAGGCAGTGGGTAAATCAAAACCACCCACCACTTCCCCAGAAGATGCAGCCTTGTAACTCCATTTGGTTCCAGCTCTTAGAATGTACAGCGATCAAGCAGTGAGTCACCGTGGGGCAGGAGGGGAGGGGTGGTAAGAGAATTTACCCTCCACCGCAATTAATCCTCTAGCTGGAAGTGGAGAAGAGGCTGCAGCTCCATTTGTGGGGTGTGAGGTGTGGGTGTAGGTACTACTGGGCAGGAGGTGGGAGAGGAATCCAGAGACAGGGCCTGACTTGAGTTACACCCCTGGGGGGCCATTAGAAATTCCCTGGCCTTGACCTCTGGCTCCAGCAGCCCTGCTGTGCACCCGGGGCCCAGCTCAGTTTCTTTTTTTTTTTTTTTTTTAAGATTTTATTTATTTATTTGAGAGAGAGAGAATGAGAGAGAGAAAGCACATGAGAGGGGGGAGGGTCAGAGGGAGAAGCA